CATTACCACATTTTCTTCTTCTTGACTCCATTTCCATCTGGCATACGAGTCTATGTGTTGACTAGTTATATGGGTAATAATAAGGTGGGGTGATTATTTTTCCCAATGATATACGACGAATATGACCCGTGATGTCTACGCAATTCAAGTTTTGTAACGTTAGACATATTATAAGTTAGATGGTCGTCAGTATTCAGATGTAGTCTGGGTTTGGCTGATGACAAGAGAACCCGAGTTTTGTCACATTGCAGTAACTGAAATGAAGATGGTACTCTTGCACAATTCTACTCTGTGTCTTTATTGCCATTGCACTACTGTATATGCTTATACAACATGTATTGTTTTTTCAACTTTGTCTCCCCACCCAGCGTCAGAGAGGGAGAGAGAGTTCATTTTATCTGGAGTGAGTGAAATGAGTATAACCCTAGTACTAGCAGATGCTAATGAGCGCACGTGTTATGATTATAGCAGCAGCAGTGTTGCAGAGTCAGACAACAGCAGCAGCAAGTGCCAACTCCAAGAGACTGAGGTTGTTTGGTGTAAACCTAGAATGCCAGCAGCAACCAGATCATGATTCCGAGACCTCCTCCGAGCCACCCACAACACCTGAGGCTTCATCGACATGGACCCAGGATCAACCCCACTACCAATTTCACTCCTACAACCCCAGACTTCATCATTCCTATTTTAACCATCACAATCACATGGTACGCTAATCCCACATATCCTTTCTTTTTTTTTTTTTTTAAACCAAAAAAAAAAATTCATGTAAGTACTATTTATTGCTTGCTTAATTATAAGTTTTGAGATGTTAGACCCAAGAAACAAGGGGACTAGGCATCGGGCAGGAGTAGGAGGGGTAAAAGATATATGACCAGTCCAATTTCCCATAATGATTTTGCTGTTTCCCCTAATGAGACACTACTACTGTCACCACGCACACATAATATATGTATCAGGGACGTTTTTCTATAGTCCCTCCAAGAAAAGAAATTGAAAAGGAAAAAGGAAAAAAAAAGGTGTAAAATCTGTATCTGCCTAACTAGAGGATGGATCAGGATTAGTTAAACCAGAAATGGTTGGTCATAAAACCAAGGAAAGTGGTCAAAAGTCTCTTGCGGTCTTAGTACCCCTCACCGCCCAAAACAAAAGTAGTCCAGTTGAACAAGTAATGTTCATTTGTGGAAGAACTGAAATGCATGGCACCACCGGTCATGAAAAGAAATGAAACACACAATTTGGAGTTAGCTTGCTCAACTGGGGAAACCTCTGCTGTCCTCTTTCCCCCACCCACCCAACCCGTCCTAGCTACACGCATCCGCAACATTTACCCGCAGCTTCTTGACCCCCAAAAATATTACGTACCCACTCCTGTCAAGTCTACCAGGGCCAAAGGCCAAAGCCCCACCGGCGGCACCGCCCACCCCTCCCTCCTCCCCTCTAGACTAGAACAATATATATATATATATATTGAATATGTGTGAGATAGGAACCGTGTGAAACCTGGACACTTTGCAGGGGAAAATGCATTTATTTAGTAGCCATACCATACCTTACCGAGAGTGGCATATTATCTTTTTAAATATCGGTGTGCCTATTATCCCACTCTATCGTGTATCAACCGGTTTGGTTTGTGGTCCTTAGCCGACTTTGAAAATCTTGAATCCCATGCTACTGTATAAGATAGACATTTATTAGTTCCAAGAAAAGGCCAACCTTCTTTTTTTTTTTTTTTGCTGCAAGGTCATCACCCTTGTCAACTTGCTAGTCGTGTTCCCAGCCCACGGCCGATTTTAGAACCCACATGAATCCTGTTCACTAAAGCATCAGCTGCTTCCCTATACAATTGTCACCCCTTGAAAATTGCCAATTCTTAGCTTTTTTTTGTAGTTCTCCGCATAATATAAACTGATTGCAGCAGTCGGTAAATCTTTAATTTCTGGTAGTCAAATGAAATAGTAGTATGGTTTTTTATTCACCAAGCCTTAATTAACCTGACGAAACTAATTAATTTGGTTTTTCTTTTTTCTTTTTTTTTTGGCGACAAACTTGCCTTTTTTTTTTTTTTTTTTAAATGTATTATACTTGCAAGGCCGGATGATACGGGATAGATGACTATTAAGAGACGCCAGTCTCAACAATGCACAGTACATTTTGTATGTTAGGATGAGACTGTCTACAGTTGTACTTGCAGTTGCAGATAATGGTTGGCGGCTTAGGTCAAGCGACATCTAATTTTACCCACTGAATTTGGGCTTCGATTTATTTATTTTTTTTTCCTAAAATTTTGAGAATTATATATTGATGGCAATCCAATTTGGAGCGGCCAATTGGTCAAACTGCGGAGGCTCCAAATCCCTGTATGGATGGCCATGAATTTCAAGTTTGTGTGCTCAACTCAAACAGCCCATCATTTTTCACAAGCAATAATTATACAGCTCTGTGTATATGGTTGCTGCAACAGGATATCAATTTCTCAAGTGACATGAACCAGACGGGGTATCGCCAGGGATAAAGATCTGTGGATGTGACGTCCAGGGTTGACCATTTGGGCGACTTGGAACTTCAAGGGAAAATAATATGTAGTTTGGAAACCAAAAAAGTGGGGAAAAAATTAATGGAGAGACTGAAAAAACCAAAAAAAAAAAAAAAAAAAAAAAAAAAAGAAGAAAAAAGAAAAAGAGAGCTAAGGGAGATCCCGGATATTCTGCCAACTTTCTCTAACCAGAAAAAGGTGGCATGGCAATGGCTGAATGGCTTACCAAACTGTCCCAACCCAAACCAGAGGGTGAGAAGAGAAAGCGCATGCAATGGAGAAGTTGAAAATTGAAGCTTGAAAGAGACCTCAGTAGAGGTAATGGCCAAAGCGGAATGGACTCACCGGAGGCGACCAGGGGGCCCACATAAGAAATATTGAACAGCTGTAGCCTTGACCCAAATTGAAGAATGCGGGTCGTTAAATCAAGAATCTACTAGTATAAAATATATATGCATAGGTTTTTTGCTATTTTGCTACTGTTGAGATACGGCCTGAACATGTTTCGCAGGCTTCATCATCATCATCATCATCATCATAGCCGGAGATGATGGGTGGGTAAAGTGGTGAAAGGATGGGATTTTGCAGCAGCTTCACCGGTGCAGCAAATAGCACCAGTAGGTTGACTGTTGATTTCTCTTCCTCTGAGGTGAAACTCGATCGATACTAATACTAATGCTAACTCACCGGTGCATGTTTGAGGGTTCATCTCTTCTCTTATTCATCCTAAATCTGCATTCATCAGAATGTCGAAATTTTTAGACAAAAATGAAGAGGTGTTTACAGTCTGCATTATATTCACCATCACTGAAAATTGTTGGTAGAGCAGACAACGCAGCACTGGAGCTAAAACTAGCCCTCAGAAGAAAGTTGAAAACTGAAAGCCGCGCGTTGACACCGAAATTCTATTGCGAGATAGATCAGAGTATACTGAAGAGTAAAGACACCACGCAATGCTTTGAAAGATTAGCATCATCCGCGCATCTGCACCGTTTCTGTCATTTGCACGTCCTCATTCATCCTCCAAAGTGCTCTTGCTCAGGAAAAGGGTTCACCGAGGAGGTTCATTGAAGCCCACCAGAAGCAGCTTTCAGTTTCAACCAAGCCCTGTAATTTCCACTTTAAATCATTACGGACACAATGGATGCATATTATATGTTTTATTAAACTTCTCAACTAAAATGTAAAATCGATACTTCAGCTATTGTCTACTTAGATCTCGAGCATTTCTCCTGTTTGGATTGTGATTTTTTACAATTTTTTTTTTAAAATATATTTCATAAATATACTTTTCGATTATCTTTTTAATTTTTTTTAAAATATTTTTCGTAAATATATAAAAACGCCCAATCCAAATGGTATTGTAAAATTCTTGATAATATTGCGGTGGGCATCAACCCCTCCTCCATTTCAATTGCGTGGCGTGGGGACAGCCATTATTCTAACCTAACCAAAAGCGGAGAAACTCACTTCAATTATTCAGCATGCTTTGCTGTTTCACTCCTACAAAGACAAGTTGATGCATAAACTACAAACAAATTGCTCTATAACAGTTCCACAAGACCAGCTCTCTACTACGAAGCCAACACTGAGTTGGATCTGTTGGTAAGAATATACTATTTTCGTACAAAAAAAATGTGAGTTTAAATCATGCTGTCAATGTGATAACTATATTGATGGTCGATTTATAAGAATTTCTATCTCTATGAAGTACTTAAGAGTCTCGTGGACAATGTTCTGACCTACCTCTACGAGGTACTTAAGAGTCTCATAGACAAACAATGTTCTGACCGTGATAATAATCGGAATCAAATTCACCTTAATATTTTTTTTACCAAAAAAATCTTTTTTTCACTTTGCAGTCACCTGTCAGTCCGTTGCTGATACTTCTTGGTATTAGTCATGGAAGAAAATAATAAAAGACAATATCAGGTCACATCATGGCTATTCTTCAGTCTCATCTCCGATAAACTTCAACCACGCCTGAGAGAACTAAAAGATTGCTGCAAGGTTCCGTCAAAATCAGAATTGAACGTGTAAACTTGGGAACAGCCTCCTCGAGCACCCATCATCCTCCAGCCAATACGGTAGAAAGAAACAAAGGAACTGAGAAAAATACGTAAGCGTGGGAACTTACGATCACGTTCAAAGCAAATCAAATTATCGAACTGACTATAAATACAGCGCGCCTCGCTCTCTCTCTCTCTCTCTCTTTTTGTTTTGCCAGTGGGTCGGGAAGGAGGGTTTGTGGGACTAATTTACTCATTCCGGCTGAGCATGATTCGCCCACACCCCCCTCCCCAGCAGAAACTCAGCTGATGTCTTCAAAAATGCACCTAACAGAAGGGAACTGTCAGTCAAAATCTTGACCTAGCTATGCATCAGCATCACATGAAGCAAAGGCATAAGGCTGAATTGTTAACTTAATACACTAGCCGTTTCGTAGAAATGAAAAGGTCACCAGTTAGAAGAGGAAAATGAAAACTGCCAAGTGAGGAAGAATTACATTGTCTCAGGGATTTTCACGTGATTACGTGCATCCAAAAGAATTAAGACAATGGAGGAATCCATTGACATCTGCTTGCGAAGGTTACCAACCAGTAGTGTGCCCAGCAAGCGGCAGGCTCCCCAAAGGCCCATGGGCTTTAAAATAGTGATTTTAATTACAACGTAAGGAAACTGCTTCAGCAACAATATCTCAAGCATTCATGTCCAAGTACAGGAATACTTGTGCAAAAGCATGTGAACATTTTTCCCCTCTAACTTGGCCTTTGTTGGCCTCGTACTTTTTGCCTTTTGAGATTCTAGAGCCAACTTCAACTTCTCCAAGTTTTGCACCTGACAAGCAGAAAGGACCCACTTCCATTAACATTGGGAAGAAAACAATTTCATTGACTTAACCATAAGAAAGAATTTGCAAAGATTCAAGAGCTCAGAAAATGTTCCCATAGCGTTTACAGGTAATCAATAAAGAACGGGTGCATCTTCAGAGGAGAATGAATCAATTTCTTATGAACTACATTGATGGCTCATGTGGAATGTGAAACGATCCTGAAGCCTTTGCACAAAAGAATCTAATACGAAGCTACATATACGACTCTTAACCATGAAGAAGAGGAGATCAACATCATGTGTCTTAAAGGAAGACCCGCATGCTTGAGGTACCTGAGTAAATCCATCAAATCTCATAGGTTATAGCCCTAAAACAACCACCTAGAGAGAGCCCACAAACAGCTCACAGATGGGTCCATCAGGTACAGAAGCCATTCTACATGCAGTTTGCTGCTTGACAAAAATATTGGAACTTGAGTTTCATACGTGAAGCTTGGCATAGAGACCTAACAAACCAAATAAAAGAGCCCAAATTCATTTCCTCATTTAAGAAACCCAATGCAATCACCAGATAATAGGGCCCATGCCCTCTTTACCTGAAATTCAAGCTGGTTACCATATGGCATCTCATCTCAATGTCATTAATTGCCATTTCGCATTCATTTAATAATCAGTTACAAAATCAAAGAACACATAAAATAAATGACACATCTTCAGAAGAAAATTCAACAAGAAGTTATGGTTATCTGATCTTTGTCTCAGAAAATCTCTTCTACAGGTAGGACACCAACAGTTTTCAACTTAGCAAGCTAACGAAAAAGAATCTTCTCTCTCTTTTCATGTCTATAACCAGAGAAGTATTATTTGTACACAAGAAAGCAGTCATCGAAGTCTGTACAATATACTATAACATCAATTAAATTAATACAAACCAAATACTCGTTAATCGTAAAGTTCTGTTATATTAAAGTTGAAAATATGAGTGAACATAAAACAAGAAACACTGATGCGAAGACATTTGATGATTGTAGATTTTCCTTTCCCATTACCAAATTATTAAACCGAAATCAATATCTTCATCTTGTACCTTTTAGGCATTTGCACATAATTATAGCAGTCTAATACCGAAGCAACTAAAATATATTCTCAGAAAAAGCATTACCAATGATTATGTTGTAGGCCTTTTTGGAGTGCCTTCTTCTGATTGAGATGCAGAATCTCTCTTCTCCATGACTTGTTGTACACCTTCCTGATAACCCTCTATAAAACTTTTCAGTGCATCTCTATATGCAGATGCTCTTGTCATATACACTCGCTGCAATGCTGGTCTTAGCGTTTCCATGCCACCTCTTGCAGCAACAGCTATTAACAGAAATAGTGTATCAGAATTTGGTAAGAAAATAGATTGATCCTATAACAATTTAATCAACAAGATGATCACCCAAAGAAAGAAATAGTCTAAGCCAGGGGTGTGTGTCAAAAGTTGTCAGCCTGGTGTGCCATTTGAACTTAACCGGATGATACAACTTCAAACCATTTGAAAGTTAAGCTGATTTTATCTTATTTTATCTTAAATTAACCATGAAAGTTTAATAGGCAGGCTAATGCTACTAAACCAAAATGTGATGCTCATGCCATACGAGCACATGTTAATAAAAAATTTGTATAAAGTTGGCTTATGCAAGTTATTTCCATCTCCTGTACAAATTCTCCATGTGTCTCTGTGTGCGTGATAATGAATGCATTGTACATACAGAACAACAAATATCAATTAAAAGTCTCTAGATTGATTCCTAGTATGAATACAATGTACCCTTGAAGTGTGTCCCTGTTTGATGTTTGCAACTGATAATACTTTTGAAAGAGGCCCTCTCAGTGCAACTCACATTGTAATTCAAATTTTCTACTTTTCTTCGCATGATATCCCCTGTACACCACTACATTTTCAATCCAAATGACCTTAAAGAAAGCCAAACATACCCAACCAATCAGCAAACTTCATTCTAACCAACAACTATTGATGTGATGAGAAAGGGGAACCATTAAGTGACTTACCAAGATCTTCAAGAGTAGAGGGCTCTTTCTCTGTTTTTACCTTGTTTTCTTCATCAAATTTATCATCATTCTCTACCTTCTTCTTGTAATCATTCGGCCTTAATTCAGGACCAATATCCCTAACCCAACTTGCTGCATAGAGTCTAGAAGCTTCCTTCAACACCTGATCAACGATTTTATATTGGCAGAGAATAATTAAAATGCAACAGGCAAATCGCACTCGGAGTTAATTTCTTTCACATCCATTATGTTGCTAAGATGAATTTTGAATTCACAAATTTGCACCCAAAAGAAAAAAGAAGTTTGTCAGCTCAACATGAGAAAAGTCATAAAGCAGTTTCAAAGCCGCGAGCTTGTAACAGGCCCAACAACAACTACAGAAGAATTCCAGAGGCCGCATTTGCGCTTAACTAAACAAGAACAACACCTTGAGTGATTCTCATGTTTAAGATACTGTTGGCACAAGACGCACAAACGAGAGAAGATAACAACGGATTGTACAAAAATGTGTTCACAATCGTCATTGGGTAAAAGCATATCATTTAGATCAAGACCGTTAAACAAACAAACAAATATATTGTGGAGTACAATAGCATACTAGTACTAGATAGAAAGAGAAACTTACAAGAAAACGCTCTTTCCAAGTGAGTTTGCGGCGCTTTTTGATATGAGGTGGGTCGGGCAAAGACGAAGGAAATGCAATCTCCTTTAGATCATAACGGACGTAATCGTAAACTTTCCTGCACACCACCTTTAGCTTTATTCCCATCTTCTCCAGCACTCTAATTAATTAACACACTCTGACTACTTTTTTCCTCCATAAAACGAAGTAAAATCGATGACAATAAAGAAATCCTAGCGTTACTGTTTCTAACCCTGACAGAAACAGGAATGTGTTTTCACTGAGGCATTCTGTCGAACAAGATGAGCACAATAGACGGGACACTGCTAAAAACCTAAAGGAACGAAATGGACCAAGAAAAAGCGTTTTTCCAGTTTGAAACGGTTGTCCGGTCGCGTTTTTCGCTTGTATATGTGAACTCTGAGTTTGGCTTCGGAAAAACGTGTTTTCTTTGTTACGTCTTCTCTTGCCAGAAATGTTTGTTTGAATAGGAGTTTATTTGGATGATTTATTTGAGATATTTACTGTAATATTTTTTATGATGTAATGTATGTGAAATGAAAGATGATTGAAAAGATAAAAAAGTGATTGAAATTTGTGAAGTAAATTATTTTATTTGAAATCATCTCAATCCAAAACAAAATAATGTGTTTTGGTGTTTAAACATGCAAGGGTACATTTACATCCATGGGGTTTTAAAAGCTACATATCTTTTATTTCAAACATTAGAATTCTCAGAGATTTACCATACTACATAAATGGGACCCACGACAGGGAAGATAAATTGCTTTACTCAACTGCACATTAAAGAAAAACTTCTTTTTTTTATTTCAAAAGAAAAGAAAAAACATGTTTGTTGGATAGAATATTATTTGGAATAATTACTGTAGCACTTTTTGTGATGTGATGTATGAAAAATAAAAAGATGATTAAAAATATAAAAAAATGGGTTGAAAATTGTGTTCATGATGCGAGCGAAATATTATTTAAAAAGAATCTGCTATCCAAACATCTTCGTACGAGTCAATCAAAATGATGAGAGAAAGATTATATGTAGTAATCTAATCATAATTTTGAAAGATCACGCAATGTTTCAAAATGGATTCCATTATGACACTTTGCTGCATGATATTACACACTGTTAAAGATTTTGCAATTGCTTTGAAATGTATCCAAGCAAGATTTGCTTTAAAATATATAATAATTGGTTAAGTTGATTGTACCATCTCATGTTTAACCAACCAGGTTCCGCCCCCGTTGCAATAGTAGTGCCTTGCACCAAAGGCATCGTCCTCGTTCAGAAAAGTTCCCGGGCTGCTTTCAAGATGGCACGCACTCGTTTGGTCTGGTGGTGATTCAATCCCTTCCGAATTATTTCTGGACCTTCTTAGATCCGTCCCCTCCCCCTTAGTGTAGAATAGATTAGATTATACAACTGTTGTCGTCTCTGAAAAAAAAAAATATGACACGCACAAAAATAAAAAGACGAAAGCGTCATCGTACCTATCTAGGCTAGGCTACCTACGTAGTTGGAGACGCACGGCCGGCACCTTGTTATACATTCGCTACTAATTTGGCCGCTCCCAACTCTCTTGTTCGTTATTGTATTCATTTACTAAGATTTTTCTCACAATTATTCGATAGACACTTGTTAACTAACACCCATTTATGTAACGGAGTGGAGGCAAATGCGGCAAGGCAAATTGAAGCACCAATCTGTCAACGGCCTTTAGCTGCAATATTATTTACTAGCAAATTCAGTCCCATGAAACCTTACTTGTACGAGTAGTTTAAAAACATGATGCAAGTCTTTCTTTGTCAACATCAAAAGAAATTTAAACGCATAAACTGCAGCCGACAAAGATAATTGCTTTTCTGCTTCTCATTTACTAGTACTTCTCAACCAGAAAGAGACAGAGAAAGAGAGAGGTAGGCAAAGATGATAACATCTAAAGGTTAGCGATAAAAAATAAGCAGTGCACGTTTAGGAAGAAATCAAGAATTCAGGACACGTTGAGGTCCACAGATTATGCTTTAAAGACATCAAATATTATGAATGCTTATCAAAAGTAGGCGCCAACAGTCAAATAATCTTTGATTACTGCTACTACTATTTTAAGAAAACCACGTCCATCATTCAAAACTCCCACCTCCCACGTTAGTAACCAACAAGAAGTCTTCGACCCAAGAACTAAAATCGCGCCCTCCTCCTTTTCATCCCCTTGTCATGGATCTTCAGCCCTCTCATCATCTTCCTAAAACACAACATTTTCCAAGCCTCTCCTTTTCTCCAGTCATCTTTAAAAACCGACCAACCTCCCTTGCAATATTCTCTCTCTCTCTGCTCCTGAGTTGTATTATTTTCTTTACCATAACAAGGCCATTTCAGCCGTCATCTCTGCTTGACATTGGCTTGTTTTCCCAGATCCTAACCAAACATCAAAATTCAGCACCGAAAGTATGTGACTACTCGTATGGATCATGGGTTCGGGACGAAAGCTACCCGCTTCACAAGTACACAGAGAAATGTCCGTTCTTGGATCCCGGTTTCCGATGCCAACAGAGTGGACGACCGGATACAGGCTATCAAAAATGGCGTTGGCAACCACGTGCTTGTAATCTTCCTAGGTATACTTGTGCTAGATTCTAGCCTGGTTTTACACGAGAACATTAATAATAGGACACCAGTAAGATGGTGCGTGCTTACAAGAACATAAACTTATTCTTCAAGGTTCCAATCATGTTTAATTGTCTGTCATGTCCTATTATCGATCATCACCATGTAGACCAACTGTATCGATAATGCTTTTCCAAGAAGTCATAAGTTAGTCTAGCAAATTAGAGCAGCCCAAGTTGTAATTTAAATTACCAGCTTTGAATCCCGTGATGCATTTAGTGCAATAAGTTCAATTGAATGCTATCATCCCTGTCATATGCATGAGCACAATAGCATATTGCACTTATTTGTCCTTCACTTTTACCAATGCTGTATTGCAGATTTAATGCGACCGACTTTCTTGACCGGGCCCGCGATGGAAGGATAGTTTTCGCCGGCGACTCCATAGTTAGAAACCAATGGGAATCCCTGCTTTGCATGCTTGCTCAAGGAGTTTCTAACCAATCTACGATATATGAAGAGCATGGAAGCCCGATAACAAAGCACAAGGGATATCTTTCAATGCACTTTGAGGAGTACAACCTCACGGTTGAGTACTACAGGGTGCCTTTCCTGGTAATCATAGATCGCCCACCAAAAGATTCCCCAAAGGAAGTACGAGGTGCCATTAGGGTTGACAGGCTACATTGGTACTCTGCCAAATGGGTTGGAGCAGATATTCTTTTATTCAGCCCAGGACACTGGTGGAACGAAGATAAAACACTGAAGATGTACGAACATTTCCTCTTCTTCTTCCTCCTCTTCTTCTTCTTCAATTATATTTAGAACGGAGGAAGAACAGCAGAACTAGAACCTAATGGTTCTCCAATTATATTTAGAGAAGAGATTTTTCTATTTCAGGGGCAACTATTTCCAGGAAGGCGGCGCTGTGAACACCACCATCGATGTGAAGGAGGCTTTTGGAAAGTCCTTAATTACATTAATGTCATGGGTCTTGCAAAGCTTGAAGCCAGAACAGAGTTACATCTTCTTCCGCAGCTACTCTCCAGTGCATTACAGGCAAGTTAAAAACCTACCTCACTGCCATCTCTTTTTCTCTGAGTATCTTATATGAAATACTTTATATTTATTCGTTGTACAAATTAATGATCGAATAATGTTTTTGGTTCATCCGAAACCTTTAAAAAAGTAGAAGACAGGCCAGGAATAGTACAACGATACAAGGAATTTAATTCGCTATGATAAGCAGCAGGACACTTTTTTCTGCATAATCTTCTCTTCTTTTGGCAATGAAAAGTAAAAATTGTACGCTGATACTATATTAAAAACATACTAAAACAAAATATATATGAGGAAAAAAAATTAAGCCCTGGAGGTGTTACTAGGGGAAAAAAATGCAATTAAAAATAAAAAAATCTGATGTGAAATTACAGGAACGGTACATGGGATGAAGGCGGTCATTGTCACACTTTTGTATCACCAGAAATGGATCTGACCAAGCTCGAGAGTGAGCCGTTGAACAATTTACAAATTTCTGAGATGATAAAGAAAATGGAAGATGCACAAATAAAGGCCCAGTTCATAAATATCACATATCTGACAGAGCTCAGAAAAGATGGTCACCCATCAATCCACCGTGAACCGGGCACTCCAGAAACGGCACCGCAAGACTGCAGCCACTGGTGCTTGCCTGGGGTGCCAGACACATGGAATGAACTTCTCTATGCTCATTTACTGTCCAAACAATACAGAACCAGGTTGAAAACAAAATGAGCCTCACCTAAAAGCAAAGTGAAGTTCAGAGGAAAGATGTTCACGATGCTTTTACCTCGGCTTTTCATCAGCATTTTCCTCGGAGTTCACCTCATCCTCCATTTCCTTCACTTTCTCCAGCTGCCTCAAGAGATCTAACCTTTCTGGTCCATATGTGGACGGTATCTACAAGTAAGTGGCTGACTCAGGTTAGAGTCCACACATATATTCAACGAAAGAAAGAAGTGATAATGGCAGAGTACGCACCAGAGACGGCACGTATCTTTGAATTGCAGCCAACATAGCAGCATGCCCAACTGCGGTAACCTGCAAAAGATGAATTATGCACCAAGTTCAGGTTCCAAGACATCAAATTCAGGAGCAACAAACTCTAGAAATATATGGTCCTGTGAAAATCTGTCCTAAATGCACACAATACAAGGCCATAAACTCCATCATCTTCTCCTCCTAACCACCAAATCTTGCTTGTAAAGACCTCCACCAACCAAAGGATTGCAGCTTGCGGCTAGTTCTTTGCAGGTTTATCTCAAAGAAACAGCTATTCTTCTTCAGTAACATCCAATGCGAAACCATGATTTGTAGGAAATGAAATCTGATTGCCCCAGACCATAGTATAGTACTTTGTTTCCCTTTAATAATACCAATGCATGAGCACATCAGAAAACAATTGAAGATAAGATATCTATCGTTCGCTCTGATTTGGAAAAATGTTCAAACGAGGGACTAAGAGAAAAAAAAGGAATTAGACATAAGAAAAATAATGTCCAGACCAATATAACCCAGTAATAAGAAGTTGAATAATGGAAAAATCTATCTAAAATTGCTTCATTTAGTTGCACGATATCTAAGATCTTTCAATTCTTTCACAATATAATACACACATAATTAGAATAGATTCATATATCAAGTGCTCGAGGGGAAAAAAGAAACCCTGAAATATGACTTGTATTAAGTGGATTACTTATAAAAAATTGCACAAATTGGCCAGTAAAGTGCTTGAGGTGGAAAAGCAATATATAAATATATATATATTTATTTATTTATTTATTTATTTATGGATATTAGATTGTTTAGTTAAAATGTTCATGTTCTACTTTCATCTAGTTTATTTAGTAAGACAAACCGATAACCATAAAATTCGCATTTAAAGTCATACTTGAACAACCAAGGATAAACGCTACCTGAAAACATAGTTAGGGTTTCCTGTAAGCTCCTACCTATTGTGGTTTATTGGAATAAGTAACAGGGTACTTCAATTCATATCAGTTTTCAATTCTAGATAATGTGCCAATAACAGTTGCAGGAAAAAGGAAATTACTGACACAAGCTCAGACAAGACCAAATAAAAGTAAAATTAAGAGCTTACAGGAAGAAGCATTAGAAAGCCAATTGGAACTACAGATGCCAAGTCTGTCAAGGTTCTTCGAAGTGCTTGCTTTTCTTTCTCTGTTAATTCATCACCTATTACAACCCTCCTAAGCAGCCCCATAGCAGCAGCAACATCAATAGCAAGAAGTTGAGTTCCTTGCCAAACATCCTGCACATAGAGCTAATGGACTGAGGAACTACCTAACTACTGGGTTGAAAAGACAAGTACTACTTGAGTTTGTTTGGATAGAGAGAATTTGGTTTGCAAAATTTATTCTCACAAATCCCAATCACCTTTTTATCTTCCCAATCACCTTTTTATCTCACATACATCACATCACAAAAAGTGCTACAGTAAATATCTCAAATAAATCATCCAAATAAACTCTTATCCAAACAAACTCACTATAATACTATTTAAGAACTCTTTCAAAGATGTCAGAACAGAACATCACAAGAAGTGTTTTGAAGCTTCATTAAGTGTCTGTGAATTTTTTTATCTTACTGCACGTAGTAAACTACATAGACAATCACAAAACTATGCAGACATAAGCTTCCTTCCTTCCCTTTTTTTCTTCTCCTGACAAGTGCAACAATGTTTTGTACAAGTCTGCTTTTAATGGGTACAGAATTTATTATGTTCAATGCTTTAAAAAAGGAATTCAACTGAAACAGTACAAATGAATATGTCCACAACCCTCCCCCTAACCGAGATGCCAAGAACATAGTATGCTATGAAGGCCAATGCACTCAAAAATCGAAAAGGAAGTGTCTTTCTTCCTCAAAGGCACATGCACCTGCACCCCATGTTCCCGAATGAATGCTAATGTACAGAAACAGAGTCTGCAATCATTTGGAGCTTTTTCAAAGCATAGTCAATTTCTCCAATGGAAACAGTGCTTCCACAAATCCATTCATCAAAATTGCCACTCCTGCAACCGTCTTTACTGTGAGCAACATCCCTTATTAGTCATTCATTTGATGCCCAACAACAGCCAGGTGCCATGTTCTACCATTCTTACATAATAAAGACTCCAGCCTTGGGGGCACTACAAGCATGATACAGGAAAGCAAGCTTGATGGATGTGCGGACTATGAAAATACTCTAAAAAATATTTTGCTATCGTATTTTGTAATCATTAAAGCGATGGTTACCTAGCAAAGAATAAAATCAAATACAGATGCTGAAACAACTTTTTCTCCTATGGCTTGGCAGTTAAAAGGTCTTCAAAAATCACACTAATAATTTAAAGGAGACCAAGTGGAAGGAACAAGAAATGCACTCCTAAAAATAGGACTTCTTTCAATTTCTTAATACGATAAATGCGGTCAATTCAACCCAACTTTGTGTGCCACATACTCATGCTGAACCACATTTCTCTTCCTGGATGCATAGAAATTGACATACATACCGTGCTAGTCCCTTTTAGCTTATCCAATGACTTTTCGATAATGCTTTCCTTCTTCTGAACTCGAACCAAGTTAGGGCCTTTAACTTCATTTCGCTGGCTGAAACTTTCATCGGTTGTCTGAATATCTTCCTGAAAGCAAAGATTAAATCAATCTTTAAAAGTCACATCATTTATGAGTAACCTCAAGGATGAGAAGAAAGAAATTCAATACTATGAGATCATCCACAACATAAAGTCAGTTAAGCAACATGGACATAATTTCTATTCAAGACCCTATTCTGTAACATAGAGTAAATAATGCTAGTCTTGAACACAGCAAACACAATATTTTCTAGTACCAAATATTGCAGTGATCTATCAGCAAAAGTTGTCAAACAGAAAGGAAACCATAACAACTGTATTCTACTGACAGCAACAGAAACAAAATTTCTGAAATTTCTGTTCCCATATTTTATCACATTCAAAGAAGAAGTTGGGCCCTAGAAACAAGAAGAAATTTGTGGTTAAAAGGGGGAAAGAAGAATAGCACAGAAATTAAGGTAAAATGCTACCTACAAGTGGGTCAAACAAAATAAATTCCTAAAACATACCAGTTAAGAACAATAGATAAATGATGAAGAATAAGGCAACAGAAGAATAAGGCAACAGAACAACCAAAAGACGAACAGGAATCAACAGAGTACAGATACACAATGAGGAATTACATGTTAAGTACCCACTGAATGTCAAAGGATACCTCTTCATATTCAGACCGATCAGAACTCTTTTGAACTCGCTTCTCCAGTTCTATTAGTTCATTCCTTAGGAGTTCAAAGCGTTGGATTTCATTTGACTCTGAATATGAAGACACTGTGCCTGCAGTTCTCTGTTCAAAGCATTCATCATCCTGCATTGGAAAAAAATAAATAACCAGTAGCTGAAAGAAGAGACAGAACTGTTAAGCACAATTTAACGGTGATTTCAGTGCAGAAGTGCCCATACAATTGGTCTTTGTCCATTAAAATTTCTAGAAAGTACAATGCTAGTAAACCTTACACAACAACGTGTCCTCATCCAATTTCAAAATTCACAAAATAACCTTTGTTGAGGCCCCAGTGAGTATATATAAGTACGATTAATTCTGCATGAATTAAGTAGTGTAACTATTCACTGAAGATTTGACTAACGGGTGGAATATCTGAGAAAGCTCTTCTGGAGGATTTTTGCTGACAGGCTCTAATCCCTTCTGCTTCCCATTACGTTAGAATTACCTTAGGGCAAGAAATTTAGCTTGCAACCTCTAAAGATCTACTTCAATTTCAAAGATTTTTGTGGAAAGCAGCATCTAGAGAGAACAGAAAACCATAAAGCGTTTAAAAATGGTAAAGGACCACCATAAAGCATACATTTGCATTGGCCATTGACATCCCAAGGTCACTGGATTTGTTTGAGGGGCGTACTAGGAAGCTCCACAATCCACGAGGTTTACTTACCCTGAATCAAGACTCAATCAATGGCAGAGAGTGGCATGAAGGTTTATGAACTCAAAATTAACAGAAGTCACGTACCTGCTGCCACTATCTCTATTTATGCTGGCCCTCTTGCTGGCTTTTCCCCTAGAATGCTGTCTCTCATTGCTAACAGAAGATGAATCACTTGCATCACCCTCCTATCTT